CATAATACTCCAACACATCAAGGATCATTCTTAGATTATTTTTTATCTGTCTTTTAGGTAAGAAACCATTTTGATTTGTGTGTATAAATTCAATCAGAAATTTCTTTATTCTTTCTGCCATTATTGAAGCAAAAATTTTGTAGTCTACATTTAATAATGATATTGGTGTGTAATTTTTTGTTTGTATCAAATCAGAGTCTTCTTTAGGTATTAAAATAATATTGGCTTCAGTCCATGTATTTGGTATTTTAGCCTCCATGAGAATTTCATTACACAATTCTTTCAAAATCGGACTTAATACATCTTGTAGTGATGTATAGAATTCAGCAGGTAATCCATCTGGGCCCGGAGTCTTATCCTTTTTTGCCTTTTTATGGCCTCTATAATCTCCATCATTGATATTTTTCCATTTAATATGTTTCGGATGTTCTCTGGAATTTTTGGTAAATCTGCTTTTTTTAAGTACTGTTGTATTTTTCTTTTGGAATTTCCTCTGCCTTGTAGAGTGTCTCATAGTAGTCTTTAATAGTATCATTTTGAAACTGTAATTCTCCTTTTGAATCTTGCAGCTTACTTATCAATTTTTTCTCTTTTTCTTTTTTCAGTCTATATGCTAACCATCTCCCCGGCTTATTGGCATTTTCAAAGAAATTCTGTTTAGTCCGTTTAATCTGTTGTGCCATTATATCCATCTCGGCTAAATTTAATTTATGCTTTATTATCTCCATTTGTTTCTTAAGTATTTTCTTGTGTGGATCTATTTGTAATTCTGATTCTAGCTTTCTGAGCTCTTCCTTTAACTTTAACTGTAGTTGTTTCTTTTCTTTATTCTTTTTAGCAATATAAGTTATAGCCAACCCTCTGAAATATGCTTTAGCCATGTCCCACAAATTTTGAAGCGATGTTTCTTCTTTCTTGTTTATTTTGAAGAAAAATTCCATATCCTTTGTCGCTAGTTGTAAGAATTCTTTTTCTTTCAATATAGATTTATTCAAGGACCATCATAATTTTTCTTAGTTCCTTTCCAAGTCATTTTTATTGGGTTATGGTCTACCCAAACATTAGTTTCTATCTCAACTTCTTGTATCATCATTTTCAATTCCAAAGATGTCCATATCATATCGATTCTAGACCATGATTTATGTCTGTTTGAATAAAATGTGTATTGCAATTTCTTTGGGTTTTTTTCTCTCCATATATCTTGAATGCAGAGTTCTTCTATCATTTTTAAGAACGCTTTAGGTAATATATTTCCTCCTTTTCTCCCTTGTTTGGCACTTTTATAGTCCAAAGTTCCATCTACTATTGCATTAAAGTCTCCCATTATACAAAGATTTTGATAGTTTAGATCTAATATTTTTTTATATAGTTTTTGATAAAATTGGTCTTGTTTATCATTAGGTGCATATATTGCTACCATCAGTATCTGTTTTTGATCCATCATTATTTCCACCATTAATATTCTCCCCTCTTCATCTGCGTAAATTTGTTTGGGGTTCATCTTTTCTTTAATGTATAAAGCTATTCCTCTTTTCTTTTGAGATGCTAATGCGAAGTAAAGTTTACCAATTTTCGGTTGTTCTAACAATTTGTAATGTTGTCTCTTAATATGTGTTTCTTGAAGATAAATTATATCCATTTTTAATTTTTGTAGTCGTGTAAAGATTTTTCTCCTTTTTGAAGGAGAATTTAGTCCATTTATATTTATTGACAAAATCCCTCTCTCCTCCATCTTTTTCAGTTATATCTAGGCCTTAGTCTTCTAGTCGATCTTATCTGTCTCTGATCTCTTGGTCTTGCTCCTTCTTCTGCATATGTATTTTTAATTTCTTCCTCCTCTCTTTGTTTGGCCGCTCCTTCTACTGCCATTTCTTCTTGTTTCTTTGGTTCAGTGTCACCTCTTTCCAGAAATGCTCTGTGATTATCGAAGAACTCCATTGCTTTAAGTGGTGTGTCCAGTCTATATCTTTTCGTGTCCCAATAAATTAAGATCCCTTCTGGAATCAGCCATCTGAAGTTCACTCCTTTTTCAGTTAATTTCCTAGTTAGGAACTGATATTCTCTTCGAGACTCTCTTATTCTCCTAGGAATTTGTTTGAGAACTACAATTTCTTTTTCTTTGTATTTCAACAGTTCATCTCTTACTTTTCTCAAAATCTCGTCTCTTGTAGATCTTTTAAGAAATCTAACATGCACTTCCCTAGGTACTTTATTTCTTCTAGCATAGTTTGAGTTAACTCGATAGATCTGGTCTAATTCTCCTTCCATTTGCAATTTCCCAGTTCCTAATGCATCTTCCAGTAGTTCGGTTATCAAGCCTAGGAGATCCTCTTCCTTATCTTCTATTATATTTTGGAATCTTAAAAAGTATGAGGCCTTTTCCATTTCTATGATGGCTATTGAATCTTCTAATTCTCCATTTATTTGCATCAATTTTTGATTTTCATCTTTTAAAATGTCTAATTTCTGATCAACCTCAGTTGATTTATCTTCTATTTTTTGAATTCTGTTGTTGGTTGTCTGTGATCATCTGTTTAAAATTTTCAATTTCAGAATCTATATTGTTCATTTTATCAAAATCACTTTTCAACTCATGGTTTTTCAATGTAACTGCCATGTGAGTAGCGATTGCCTCTTGAATTGCTTGCAGAGTTGTTTGCGTATCTTTCTGGAAGGTGTCCGTCTTCTCTTGTTGGAGCATTGTAGCAATTGATCTCTGATAGACTGGACATGCCGAAGTCGAAGAGGGAGCAGAAGAACCTTTTTTTCCAACTTTAGATAGGTTTGGGGCACTCATCTTTGTCTTTAAATCATATGTTGTAATCCACCAAGTAAGTCAAATTTTATAATCCAATAATTAGGAGAGGTAAACCATAAAAATAGTAAATGGTAAAAAAAATGCCAAAATTTATAATCCACAGAATTCTGTTCAAAAGGGTTTCTTGGTATTCACTTCTTCAGAGCCAGTTTATAACAATTCCGAATCAAGCTGTATTTGTAATCCAGGGGAGTCCGATGACTCCAAACACAGTTTTATTTATAGTTATAATCCATCCTGTGAGACAGGACAAACCAAAAAGAGTCTTTCTTTCCCAGCCAGAATCTTCAAGGACACTCAGATAAGCAATGTCTGGGCATACAGCCAAGTTTTACTCCAATCAGGAGAAACTGGGTATAGTTCTCAGTTTCGCCACTAGATGTCATTAGATGTCCATTCCCACCATATTTTAAGAAAATTTAAAAAGTAAAAGTTCTGATGACTTTCAAACAAAAAGTAGACAAAGAGGATCTATAGAGCCAAAAGCTTCCCAAATTATCCTTCTTCTATGCCTCAGACAGCTACACATTGATATGGTAAGTCAATTTTAGTTTGCCAGAAGCTTAAACCGCCGCTTATAGTTCAGGAGGGAGGGGTAAAAAAGAAAAAAAAACCTCCCTGGAGCTAAGGGCTTTATTTTGAAAAGCTGTTGAAATGCTGTTCACAGAACTGGTATTTCCACTTGCAGAGAGATAAAGAAAGTATTCTCACCCAGGTCAGCTGTTTGCTTTCGCTTTGGAGTTCTTTGTCTCTGACGATCAGCTGCTAATGGCAGACCGCATGGGTGCGGTCGACCTTTCTTCCTGCCGGTCCCAAGGGCTCCTTTGGATCCAGCGGGCCAGCTACCGCTGACCCGCGATCTGCAAAGTTTCACCCTTTGGCCAGTCGCCTCTACGGGGCGACTGTCAGTCCTGTTGGACTCCCCAGCTGGTAGAAATCGGACTTGGGGAGAGGAGAATCATTCCCCAGAGCCCATCTTGCAGCAACGTCATCGGAAACTCAAAATCGCTAGATTTTTTTGTGTGCATATATGGAGATGGATGTTTGGACCCAAACTTCTGAAGTAGATTCAAAAACAGAGGGATAAAGATATTATTTGGAAATCTGAAGATTGAATTATTTATTTATTTATTTAATTACATTTATATCCCGCCCTTCTCCTTGCAGACTCAGGGCGGCTAACAATCAGATAAAATACAAAAATACAATACACCTTTAAAATTAATTAAAAAGAAATATTTAAATTCAATCTGATTAAAAGTAATTAAAACCCCTTTAAAATCCCTTAGGCCAGTCCCGCAAGCTGGAACAACCATGTCTTGAGGGCGCGGCGGAAGGAAGGGAGATCAGGGATCACCCTGATCTCTGGGGGCAGTTCGTTCCAGAGGGTGGGAGCTCCCACAGAGAAGGCCCTCCCCCTTGGGGTCGCCAGCCGGCATATATAACATATATCTGTCAGATCAATTTACTCTCTTTGTTCTATCCCCAAATGTATTGGGCTGGTTTTCAAGAGCAGAACTGTCTACTCTGGGTAAGAGGGTTTTGTCTGAAAAGCCCTGCTATACAGGGTACTGACACAAGGAACTCCTAGAATGAAGATACGAAACTCCTGGTTTAATTTGAAGGCTTAGAATTATACGCATCCACAGGAAGAACAAATTATGGCACATGTGTAATGATGTTATCACACAAAATCCACAATCTATATACTTGTCAGATGTATGACACAAGTAATCATAGCATTTGCAAGATGTTATAACATGCATGTCATCATTTTGACATCATTGTGGTTTGTTACAGTCAACACTGCCTAAAAACAGATATTTTCTACTTCATTCCATTGTTTCAGCTGGGACAGGTTAACTTTTCAGCATTTCAACCTTGAGTCCAGGGCCAGTCTTCATCTGCTGCCCACAGACCTGTTATACAGAGTTACTTTCTATGAAGCATCAATGGCATGTATAATAAAAGATAGATGACATTAGCTAAACCAGCCTGAAAAGTGCTAGAGAGGAGCCTGGTTGTCAAGGGAGAGAGAACAAAAACAAGAGACAGTGAGTAAACTGGGCTGAGTCACTGATGGAGCTACTGCAGGGATTTGTGGTAAAAAAAAGCTGTCTTATACTGCAAAATAGCAAAAGGAAGAAGGGGAGAAGGAGAAAAAAACAGTGCAAGAACTCACCCTTGAATTTGGATCGGATATTGGCCAACTCCTTGTTAATTCGTTTAATTTCAGCCTCTTTACTCTTACCTGGAAATAAGAAGGAATGAAACATGGGGTCTACCCAACTCCATACACAATCATCTGAGTATCTGCATAGTACTGAATGTTTAACTATTATGAGACAAGGAAAAAAAACGGAGGAGGAAAGCAGTCAGATAAATGCCAACAGATAATGACAAACTGCCACATACGCTTCTTGAATATAATAATAATAATAATAAAATATAATAATAGTAATAGTAATAGTAATAGTAATAGTAATAGTAATAGTAGTAGTAATAATAATAATAATAATAATAATAATAATAATAATAATAATAATAATAATAATAATATCTGTAATACCATCAAACATCCACATCTACCTATCCGAGGTCCTTGGTAAGGACTCGATAGGTACACAAAATGCCAAATCCAGTCTGAACATCTGGCTGACTGTGCGATGATGATAATAGTAGTAGTAGTAGTAGTAGTAGTAGTAGTAGTAGTAGTAGTAGTAGTAGTAGTAGTAGTAATAATAATAATAATAATAATAATAATAATAATAATAATAAAGTTGGAAGGGACCTTGGAGGTCATCTAGTCCAACCCCCTGCTCAGGCAGGAAACCCTATACCATTTCAGACAAATGGCTATCCAGTCTCTTCTTTAAAACTTCCAGTGTTGGAGCATTCACATAAATGAAACAGCATGAAAAAGCAAAACCTTCCCCAACTTATTGTCCTCTAAATGAGTTGGTCTGTAATTCCAGAATTCCCAGCCAGATACAATTCCCACATATCTGGAAGTACTATCTCAGATGGCTGCCATATACTAAAGCATAGGAGCTACAGGCCAATCAGGGAACTCAGATTTTGGATCAGAGGAGGCGGCAGTCTGTATTATTGTACTGTTTTTCTTCAATCAAATGCATTCTTCTCAAGCTGCTGCTCGGCAAAAGCTGGTGAAAAGGTATTTAGATGGAGCAAATGATATAGTTTGCTTCTGGTACCAATTCAAGGTGCTGGTGTCTATTTATACATTTACAGATTAGGCCCACAATGTGTGAATGAATCTTCCCATAGGTTCCAACTCATCTAGTAAGATCATCCTCAAAGGCCCTCCTCCAGTGCCCTTCCATGCTGATCTGCAATTAGCAGGTGCTCACTGCAGTGATTTCTGCAAATTCTAGTAGTTGCTCCTGGCTATGGATGGCTCCCAAGTAAGTCAGGCCTGGTACCTACTATCCTTCTGGCCCAAGGCAAAGATGCTTTTTCATAATCTGAATTCATGATTATATTCATATCTGAAATGTTATACTTTTTTAACCAGTCTTTAGCTGCTGTCCATACTGTTTTGTTTTTATGTTGTACAGGTAGTCCTCGAGGTATGAACCTAATGGAGCCTGCCCATTAGGATTGTAAGTCAAAAAATTCATCAAATGAATCAGACTCCATTTTACAAATTTTTAAAATCAAATTCATTAATTGAATCAAATGGGTTGTTAAATGAACAAAGATCTGACAAAATGATGCTGCCAGTTAACTGAACTAAGAGGCTTTCCCGCAGGCCGCCCATCAGCTGTTTCCGGTGCAGCCAGCTCAGGAACTAAATTGCAGCCATTGCAGTTGCTTTTTTAAAAAAACAACTGCTGCTAGTCAGTTGCTTAAAAAAAAAAACCAACTTGCTGCTAATTATCTTAAGAGTCTCCAGCCAGGCACCCAGCGGGAGATGGGGAAGGGATTTGCAGAACTCTCAGCTTGCAACAGTAACAGAGATGGAAGGGACCTTGAGGTCATCTTGTCCAGGGCTTTTCAACCTTTTCAGATTGTACCACTTTTAGGACATCACAATATTCGAGCACCACCAGTGCTTAGCAAGGTGCTTGACTAAAAAAAAATGGGGGGGATTTTGGGTTTTACTGATTAGATTGATTTGTTATTATAGAAATGGCTAGTTTATACTATTATGGAAAAGTAAAAAGTTGAGGTTCGATGTTAATGCTTCATTCTACTGCAACAGAGGAAGTCGGAAGTCAATGCCTCTTCTTTTTCCCTTCTCCCCCTCACTTTTCTTTCCCTTTTTCCTCCCCACTGTGTCCTACTATTTGCTTTTGTATTTTATTGTATAATCTAATAAAATGTTACAAACCGTTAAAAAAAGGAAAAAAGTACTGGTTTTAATTTCTTTGGTGGCTGTTCCTTTGCTGAATCACTTTCCCTTTGCACTGACGAACGTATGACGAATTTATCCATATTTATTAATATGCACCACTACCTTGGTGGTCAGCTGGCTAGTCGGCCCTTCTTCCTCTCTCCCTCTCCTCTCTCTTTCTCCACTGCCTGCTGGGCTCTCCTTCCACAGCCTCTGGTCCCTCTCTCTTTTTCTGTCCCCTTCTCTTCCCCCCTTTTTTTCCTCTCCCTCTCCAGCCAAAACCTCTTCCTTTTATATCCTCTCCTCTCTTCCCCCCTCCTCCTCCTCTTCTCTTCCGTGTGTGCTGGAAGCGCCGATCACCATGTAGCCCTGCACGCCGAACCCCGGCAGCTCCAGCTGACTCTCTCACCCCAAGGCCTGTCTGCTGCTCTTGGTGATAGCAGAGGCTTCCGGAAGCACCGATCCTGGGCTTTCAGCAGAGCCCCAGCAACACTGCAGCTCCAGCTGACTCTCCGCCTGAAGGCTGCGGGACACCCCCGAGGCCTCTCGAAGCACCGATCAGTTGGAGCTGTGCGCACCGATCCTGGGCCCTCAGCAGAGTTCCAGCAACACCGCAGGTGCAGCTGACTGTCCCCTAGACTTGTGCGGTGCTACCGCCACTTCAACTCATCACTTCAGCTCATCCCCCCAGCTACACCTGTCTAGGTCGTGTACAACCTGCCAGGTGCCAAAGTACCACCAGTGGTACGCATACCACCGGATGAAAAGCCCTGATCTAAGTCTAACCCACTGCTCTCACAAGAGAGTATTTCTGATAAATGCCTATCCAGTCTCTTAAAAGCTTCCAGTGATGGGGCACCCACAACTTCTGGAGGCAATTTAAATTTAAAACCTACAAACTACAGTAATACTAATCTCCAAACTAAAAGCAAAAAAACCAACGTTATAGAATGCTGTGTAGATCCTGGCTAGCATTTCTACAAGCAGTTTGAAGGCAAATGCAAACAAACTTGATCTTTGCAAAGTACTGTACTTACAAACACAATAGTTTGCAAAGTACAGTACTTAAAAAGCAGAGCAGTTCCCAAAGTGCTTGCAAACTGTTTGTTTGCAAGCATTTTGGGAACTGCTCTGCTTTTTAAGTACTGTACTGTATAGTTTGCAAGCACTATAGAGCAACAAAAAATATTTTAAAATACTTACAGAAGCAATTCTAGTACTCCAGTCCAGGCAGCAGCAGATCCTCCACCAGAACCAAAAAAACAAAAACAAACTGGCACCAGCTGCAAAAATCACCAGCTCTTGTTTGGGGATGTGACCAGAAACAACACCCCTTCCGGCTTCAGAAAAATTGCATTCATAACTGAACGGCCCAGGCAAGTCACAGAGTTAAACATGGCCACTGCTGCAGCACTGACTTAATCCAAGTCACATGGCTACAGAGGCCTCTTTTTGGTGGCAGTTTTGAATTTCTAATGTAAGTACCCTTTCTGAATAAATTCATTTTTGTGAAAACTCGCTAAATGAATGTTCGTACCTGGGGGATTACCTGTACATTTTTAATCACTTTGTTTTCATAATAATTTTAGAGCAGGGGTGTCAAACTTGCAACGTCACGTGACGTGTCTCAATGTATCGTGACTTTTTCTCCATTGCCGGCAATGGGGTGAGCACAGTTTTGGCATGACACATCTGGCCCGTGGGCTGGCAGTTTGACACCCGTGTTTTAGAGTGTAGTAAGCTGCTCTAGGAAAACTGTTAGGAAGGAGGCACATAAGCATAATAAATAAAATGCAGGGGAAAGTCTTAAGTGTGTACACATCCCTAGGGGCTGCTTTTAGTTTAAAATATTTTTTTTTGCACAGTCTGTGTAGTTTCTGAGTCCATATTTCTTCTGAAAGAGTCTACTGCTTTGAAAATAAGTTCTTTTTGTGGGTTTAATGTATTTAGGGTCAGTTTCTTCAAAATGTTTTCTACGGTCTTTATGAGTTCATCATACCCTTTGAAAAAACTTTCAGCTAAAGATTGCATCTTGGCAAACAGTCCCCCCCCCACGTGTCAGCCTCCTCCTCCTCTCTGTAATCCAATATGTTGTTGCTCCATGCCAGACATGTCAAACTCGCGACGTCATGTGATGTCACGCAACGTATCGGGACGGTTTTGCCATTGCTGGCAATGGGGTGGGCGTGGCTTCCAGATGACACGTTCTGCCTGCGGGCCGGCAGTTTGACACCCCTGCTCCATGCAGCAGATAAGGAGAACAGCTTAACACTACAGATTCCTTGCAGTGAATATTCAATAAAATATAATTCAAATATAAACACTTTCACTATCCAGAAGCATGTGCCTTGTTTCCATACGGAAACAACAGAAGTTGATGAAAGCAGCCAAATAAATCAAAGAGAGAAAGCAGTAAAAACAGATAAAGTCCAGCAGGGGGTTGAAATAAATCAGCATTCAGTCAGCCAATTAACATTTAAAGATAGAGAACAAGAACAAAAGTTAAAAAAGTGAAGTTAAAAATCCTAGGCTTGCTTACAAAAATGTTCTGCTGGTAGGAAGAGATGTAGAAAAGACTTTCCACCTGCTCCCACAGGGAGCTGCAATCCTCAAGATTTCCCCTCCTGGGTGGGTCCACAGCTGTCCACAGCCATCCAAAAGTCATCTTGGGTCATTCCTAAGTGCCCCCATTCAAATCCAGGGGGCAGGACTGCCAAAGAACCAGCTCTGGCAGCAAACACAGCAGATTGTGGGCAGGAGAAAAAATTCTGCCTACTCAGCAGCAGCCATCTTGGGAACAAACACTGATCTTATACCAAAACTGCCAACACAGAGTAAACACATCTACATTTAGCAGACCTGGAGAGTAAATGCTCCCAGGTGGTTAAGGGAAC